GTGGGATCTCTCAAAAACATTACATCAGACTTCCACACAGTTTCAAATCTTACAAAACAGACAAATTATCACCTTTTAGTTTGTTGAAATGCTTCATTTAAAAACCAACACATAGTTTTTTCAAGGATAAAATTCTCAACAAGATGGCAAAAATCTTAAAACAGAGAGATGACCCACTGTAAAAAATAAGCAAACAAATATGAGTAGCTAATGAAATAGTTGTTGCCCAATGTTAACAATGGTGCAGTATTACAACAAGATGAAAACAAAGGTTTATTTATCAAAGGTGTACATTTCTCATTTAGAGATAGTTTACTGGTTTAAACGTAAACTGAGCAAGAAAACTGATTATATTTCTTTCTTCACTAAACCTTTTTTTATAGCCTTTCCCCAGAGGTTTTTCAAGAGTCTGCCATTGTGCATCCTTAAAAGACAATCCAAACCATCCTGTTTTTTTCCAAGTGCAACCATATGTTCACAACCTAAGCCAGTGAAGCTTTTGCTTCTTCAAAAGACACCATTTCATATGATTCTCAGCTTTCATTTTCCACATTCCACTTTGAATTTGTTCTAGTGCAATGTGCAAGGTAGCCTAATTTCGTAGGTTAATAAGGGAGTTGCGGTGGACCTATATTTAACATGGAGGCAGGAAACCACACAAAAAGGCCCTCTGGCAGTCCCAGAGCTTTTCTCCCAGAAGACTGACTGGCCTTTTTTAGTGCAAGACAGCTTCAATGTGGCCTCAATACCAAAACAGCGTGTAAACTAAATGTGTCGGAGCTACACCATTTACTATAATCTGTCTGACTGTAAAGGATGAATCAAAGTTGATTTATGAAATTACAATCTAAAAAAATTAAATAAGATAAAGAATTTGCTTTTTTCTTCACAATTAAAGGAAAAGGAGAGCTGCCAAAAATCTTAGGAAATGAAAAGAATTAAATGCATCGCAAATATATCTTTTCAAGATTGAAATCAATTTCTAAATCCTTATTTCAGTCATTATCAGGATAACCAAAAACGACCAGATTTTAAAGCTTCAAAGTACTTCTCAAAGATTGCTTTAAAATTTATAAAGTTTTAAAAATAATCAAAATGTTTTGATGTGGCTGATTCTAATAATGTTAAATAATTAGAAGATGACAAAGAAATTAAACATGTCAAGTTAAAGTCAGGTGGACAGGGAAAACTCTGAGTCAGAAGAATGCAAACATCTTTTATCTAGAATAAGTATAGTTCTAATGTTATCTATATTACCCTAGTGGAAGCTAATTACATTACTGATTTTTCGAGTCATTCAATCAAAGCGCATGTCTGTGTTTTGGAGGAAAGACCAGTAGGCTTGTAAAACTATTTAAGACCAAAGGTTAGCTAATATTTTATTTGAAGGTATTCATCAAAGAAAATATTTAATGTTAAAGTAATTAAAATGTATTTAAAAAAGGTAAAAATTACAAAAGACAGTATGTTTGTATCACTGAGAGCAAAGATAAGGTTCTTGCATGTTTTAGTAGATCTGTTTTACAGTCACAGCTGAGGCACCACAAAGCTGAACTGACGTTTGTGTATAAGTTAGAGCCAGCACTTCTAAAACAATTGGGTAGGAACATAAACTCTGTTATTAGTCTTATGATTCCAAGGCTGCTTAACTTGTCCTCATATGGAGCACTCTCTCTGGTAAAAAAACTACCGTGTTCTTTTATTAAAACAACTAAAAAAAATACACAGTTATTTCCACTGAATATCACTGGATATACAGCACTTTATAAAAAAAAAACTTTGTATTGCAGATCTGACATGCAGCTCTATGGTAGATATGTCTGTTTAGATGCTCAGTTACAACATAGACAGGTTTTATTATCTAACTATTTATATTTCTGCATAGAGTAAACAAGTTGAAGTTTATTTTCATTTTCAATCTTTCTCAATCAAATTGTCTTTATATTTCTTTACAAAATGAAGCTGGAACGCACAAAACCTTAATGTTAGTCTATATTATTATTAGCAAAACCAGCTGGAGCTGCCATGTCAGAGTTAAAATCATCTAGCTGTTAATCTGAGTTAAAGTAGAAGAATTTGATGGTTTCTCTCTTTTTTATTTCATTCTCATTTTGCAACGCATCAGTACTACTGGCAGATCCACAGCTTGATCCTTCCACTAATGCACTTGACAGCTGATACAACTTTGAACCAGAGATTTTCTTATGGACTCAAACATAGACTACCTTTTTGTTTTAGCTATATACCAAAATTCTGCCTTGAAGTTTTCTACAGATACCTGTCTAGTCCTAATGGAGAGCTGCAAATTTAAGCTGAGATTAAAGTTGTCATGACTGGAGCAGAGCGTTCCATGGGCAGTTCTAGACAGGGTCTAACAGGGGCCAATACTCCTAGTATGTGCTAAAGACAAAATAGTGAATCATTTCTTATGGTGATCTGTACTGGCAGAGAAACTGTAAATCTTTGGACCGCTTACATTTTTTGTATCTTTAAAGTTTTACATTAGCAGTGTTTTAAAAATGATGGTGTTGCACTTTTAACTTCAGCTGTTTTGAGTTAAGATAATAGTTTTCAAACTTGCAGCTCACCAGCCATAATTGTTCTGTCTCCTGTTTTTTTTAAAGTTTCCTTCCTTTGTTATATGCCCCCCTTAAAACAAAACGCTGACCCCACCCTGGTAAACTTGGTCTAGAACCGTCACTCGATAGTTCTCTGTTGGTATACACCATCTCTGTCAACTGCTAAAACTTACTGAATCTTGCATAGTTTGTGTCCCAACATTGTCCAACTCCTTACAGACTTAAGCTTTGCCAGCTGCTAGGCTCTCTCCCCTGGAAGAATTGTTGCAATTCTCCAAATGTAATGGTTAAACATTTTAAATCATAAGGTGTTTCCACATATTCATATTAGAAAAAAATATCACATGATCCCAACTTGTAATCTATCTGCAGATTTTTTTCCCTCTCTCTATGATCGTTACACCCTGTAATGAATTCACCACTAAAAGCCCAAAATGAATAACATCTTATAAGAAAAATGCACGGAAATGTTAGACCTAATTTTTGTTTTGGATCTTTAAAATTAAAATTTTAACTCATGTAGCATAGATCATTTTCAGCTATTATGCTTTTGGATTGCATACACTGAAGTTTATTCTACAATATGTAGTTTTTTTTACAGATATGCCAATACAAGAAATGTTTGAACATTTAGACTTTAATTTCAATTAAGTATGGTTGAATATGTAAGGATTGGTGTTCTGTACATTGATGAGATACTTCATAGATTAGTTCAGTCATTTAGTTCTCACTTTAATTTAATCTTGAGGAAGCAGATGTTGTTGGGCGACAAACACAGTCATCTCTCACAATCAGTAATCCTTTATCCTTTCCTCCCTTCTGTGCTTTGTTCCTTCCACTTCTTGACAAAGTGTGTGCCTGTGTGCTTGCCTGTAACTGACCTAAGATACTGAAGGTGGAGAAAAACATACTGTAAATATCTGCAAAGAGGGCTCCATCTGTTAAAGTCGTTAGAAGAGGCAGCATAACAACTGGTAAAATACTTACTGATGCCTCGTTGGACCTTCCTTTGCAGAGCAAATTCAGCTCAGTTAGATGTCAGCTGTCATGCTTTTTATTAAATTCTCCCTCAGTACACATGAACACACACACAGATGCATATGTGTTTGGCACTGCAAGTCATATGCATGAGAGGGAATCAACCATTTTGTGGGTGTTTAATTCTCATGGGAAAATGAAGAGGTCTGTGCCATTTCCTGATATTTTCCTGCGTTATGCAGATGGTAAAGCAGATATCTATTAACATAAACAAACAGGCTATATAAAGCTTCATACTCCGACTAAACATTTGCAGCCAGGGACCCCGTCTTGATTGGACACAGTTTTAACCAGTGGGTGGCTAAACATATATAATTGGATTGGGAAGTATATGATGCTGCTTCAAGCTTATATGATTACCAAAATGTATATAGTTCATATAGAAAAATGATTTACTGAATAATGACTAAAGTGAACCAAAAAGAATTATAAAGATAATGGACTATGAAAATGAAATTCAAACTATAATGACTTGCAGTTCCATCTGTCTCATATTACAATAGTAATGTAAAAAATCACATGCATGCATACATACATCCATACATCCATACATACATACATACATACATACATACATACATACATACATACATACATACATGTCTGTCTGTCTGTCTGTCTGTCTGTCTGTCTGTCTGTCTGTCTGTCTACATACATACATACATACATACTGCATCTCTGCAGACAGGCAGAGAGACAGACATTAATTTAAATCAAAATCTCCCAGAGCTTGAATGTAAACATTTGTGGTGGAAAGGAAAGTTTACTGTACTGTACTGTAAAGGAACAGTTGTATTCATGATCTGTAAAAGACAAGAAATGGTTGGCATTTAAATGGATCTTCAAATAGATCTCATATTTAAAAAACAAAACAAAAAACAGCATATCGGAAGTGGGGTGGGGGTTATTTACTTTGATAATACTTCATAGTATTATTGTGTCTCTATTGTAAAAAAAAAAAAAAAAAAAAACACAGACCACCGTCCTCTGCCATTTCTGAGAAAACTGCTCCGACATGCACATATCCAAATGCTGTATTTTCTCTTATATTCATATTATAGACAATTACGCAGATAAAACTGACCAGGAAATATCAATGATTGTAAGGAGGAATAAAATGACTATTTTTAAGGTGCAACTGCAGGTCAGTTTGTAAGTGATTGATGATTCAATAAGACACATCTCTTTTTTTTTTTTTTTTTTTACCTCAGGAACAAATGGGCTGTGATATATTTATAAGAAGGCCCATCCTAATTGAAACTGTCCTGTCTGTGAGGAATGACCTTGTTTAAATGAGTCTAGCTGACGTGTGTGGTTGTGTGTGTGTGTGAGACACAGAGAGAGAGGGGGGGAACAATATGAGGAGAGGGGCAGGGGAAGGCTGGCACGCCCAAGCTACAGAGCTGAATGACGCCCGTCTGTTGCATCTTTGGTATCGGTGCGTCCTGCTATTGGAGGACCACTCCAAAAGAAAGCAATCAGCGGCGCGCCGTGGGCGGGTGGAACGCCTGTTTATAAATCCAGATCTCTCCCCCAAGGTTGGGAACAGCAACAGGAGAAGAGCGAAAGTGAGGCGCATGAGAAGTGAGAGAGAAAGAGACGTGGAAGAGCCGAGGCTGTGGCGGTGGCTGTGGTTGACCGGGGTCCGCGGAGGGGGCGCGGCGTCCGCCCCTGCATGCGACTTCAGCCGCGCATGGACGACCACCTCAGCCTCCTGCAATCACCCCCGCCGAGCGCGACCAAAACCCGAGGCGACAACCTGGTGAACCACGGCTACACCGAGACAGAGGCGGACGTGATGACGGTGGTGGCGTGTGACAACATGCTGGAGGAGTCGGCGGCTCTACCGGGCCACCACTCTTTGGATCGATACGAACCGGATCACGAGTGCTGCGAGCGGGTGGTCATCAACATCTCTGGGTTGCGCTTTGAGACGCAGCTGAAGACTCTGTCACAGTTTCCAGAGACGCTGTTAGGGGACCCTAAGAAGAGGATGAGATACTTCGATCCCCTCAGGAATGAATACTTTTTCGATCGGAACCGACCCAGCTTTGATGCCATCCTCTACTACTACCAGTCTGGCGGGCGCATCAGGAGACCCGTAAATGTGCCCATTGATATTTTCTCTGAGGAAATACGTTTCTATGAGCTGGGAGAAGAGGCTATGGAGAAGTTCAGAGAGGATGAGGGCTTTATTAAGGAGGAGGAGCGGCCGCTGCCAGATAATGAGTTTCAAAGGCAGGTGTGGCTGCTTTTTGAGTATCCAGAGAGCTCGGGTCCTGCCAGGGGAATAGCGATAGTGTCTGTCCTGGTCATTCTCATCTCCATTGTCATCTTCTGCTTAGAGACACTGCCAGAGTTCAGGGATGAGAACAGGGACCCCATCACCATTGCGCCTGTGATAAATGGCACGCTTCCCTATTTCATTAGTCCCTTCTCAGATCCCTTCTTCGTGGTGGAGACGCTGTGCATCATCTGGTTCTCATTCGAGCTGCTGGTGCGCTTTTTTGCATGCCCGAGCAAAGCCACCTTCTCCAAAAACATCATGAACATTATTGACATCGTTGCCATCATCCCTTACTTCATCACACTGGGCACAGAGCTGGCGGAGAGGCAGGGAAACGGACAGCAGGCCATGTCGCTGGCCATCCTGCGCGTAATCAGGCTCGTCCGGGTGTTTCGCATCTTCAAACTCTCGCGTCACTCCAAGGGCCTGCAAATTTTGGGACAGACGCTCAAAGCCAGTATGCGCGAACTGGGACTGCTCATCTTCTTCTTGTTCATTGGGGTTATACTTTTCTCCAGCGCCGTTTACTTCGCTGAAGCGGACGACCCGGATTCGGGGTTCAGTAGCATCCCGGACGCATTCTGGTGGGCGGTCGTAACCATGACCACCGTAGGATACGGGGATATGCACCCTGTGACGATCGGGGGCAAGATTGTGGGGTCCCTGTGCGCGATCGCCGGCGTGCTGACCATAGCGCTACCAGTGCCCGTCATCGTTTCCAACTTTAACTACTTTTACCACAGAGAGACGGACGGCGAGGAGCAGGCGCAGTACCTCCATGTGGGGAGCTGTCAACCTCTGGCGGACACAGAGGAGCTGAGGAAGACTCGATCATCCTCCTCACTCAGTAAAAGCGAGTACATGGTGATAGAGGAGCAAGGGTTTAACGGTTCTTTTAAGCAGCAGCCAAACTTCCCCACCAACCCAACCCCCGTTCAGAACAACTCACAGAACTGTGTAAACATAAACAAAAAGATTTTCACCGACGTGTAACGTGAACGCAAACGGCCACTGAGAGCAGGAGGACGTGATGTATCACGCATCTGCAGCGACTTTAGGAGGCAACAGTAGATATAAGATGATGGATGATGCTGGGCGCGTTTGTTTAATGAGATGATTTGTACTCCGTTCGATCAATTAGTTTTGTATATCTACATATTTAGGTAATTGTTGCTTGCAAAAAGTGAAAGAGCTCCTCCTTTTGTTCACTGAACCTGTTGTATGCCGTGCAATAAGCAGCATATTAAACGCATCACAACAGATAGAGATAAAGATGAATGACGCGTAAAAGCGAAAGCACCTGACAATGGATTCTCATGCGTTATTACCATGCATTAAGAGTCGTGATTTCGCAAGCAATAGCCTGTATGTGTAATATTCAGAGTCATTAGAATATGTTTGCCTATTTCTGTGTTCAAAAACATGTAGCCAAATGTCAGGTAAACATAATCCAGCATATATATGTCATATAAGCCGTTTTGTGGTACGTCTATTGTGCGTTAAAGTGTAGATTAAATGCTACTGCTTTGAAAAAAACAAAACAAAAAAACAATAGAAAAACAACCTAGGTATAAACTTGGGTTTTTAATGCGTAAACGGCGCCATGTAAACCACCAATCAAAGCGGCTGTCAGGGTCTCTTTATAGGTGGGAGATACACGTGAGGAGAGAAACAAGAAAAGGGAGCGTTCTCTGATCAAAGATGGAGCGCCTTTCTGTCGCGGAAGCCTCAAATAGAGCCCTCTGTGATGCAGTCTCCATGGCGACGCCAGTTTACTTGGTACCCTCCCAGTGCCGTTGCCATAGCATTGCCGTTTCCACAGTAACCTCCCAGATGGTTTCACAGCTACATTGGAGGACCTAGTGTGAGGGGGGCAGCATGTCTTTTCATTGTTTAATCATTCAGAACAAAACATTTCTAGATTCAGTGACTGTTAAAGGCTGCTGGAGCAAAAACAACAGAAAACAAAAGTGAAGACATCAGACACTCTGAAATCGTGGACCACAACTCAAGACGGTGTCGTGATGACAGAGTGGAATCAGGAGTCAACATGTAAGGAATTATGAATGGACTGAGATTACGTTGCCCGGCTGTCCTTTGTGCACTACCGCGGGGGGCCAGCAGAGGACGATGTTCTCTCACTAAAAAATGGTAAGCTCTGGTTGTGATTCCTTTGTTATTGTTAGAGAAGAAAAACAAAAGCTGCACTGTTTATGGATTTTCAGAATAAGGCGTAAAAACTTGTCTGTTCAGAAAGTGGTTTGCCATCAAAATCTAATAAGCACCAGTGATAGTGCATAAGGCCCTCTTATCCACACACAAAACAGTTTGTTATTCCTCATAGATTTTGTTCAATAGCATGTATTATCTGATTTTATATTGAAAAATATGTTGAATTTTTATTTATCAATTAAATGTGCATTTATTTAACGTTTTCAGGTTACTCCTGTGTGTACATTGTAAAAAGAGCAAAATGTTCTTCTGACTCCAGGTTGCCTTTCACCTTCATTTGACTTTGTATATAAAATCAGCAGGACCAGCAACAGCATGCCAAACCAGCTTGTCTAAGCTATGCCCCCTGGTGGCCACTTTCTGCTTCTAAAAGAACAGGTGGCTTTCATGACCTCTGTCATCCTTAGAGCTTCATTAACCTTGGGATACATCACAGAAAGTGCAAACACAGTTTCTTCTCTACCCATATCATGTAGCAATGTATTCTATAATGGGTTATACTCTGCATATGCATATTTCTCTGCATTTTGCCTGATTTATTTTTGAAGAAAAATCTATTTATTTGAGGTACTTTTAATCAGTTTTTAAGCATACTTTACAGCTGCACATTTGCGTTCACACATAAAGGAAGAATAATGATTTATTTGTATCTGCATCACAAATGTGCAGTTATAACATAAAAAAAAATTATTTAGATATAGGTTAAGCATGCCCCCAAACGTGGGGTTGTTTAATTGAAACGCTAGTCTGATGTTAAATTGTTTAAATATAATAAGGGCATGCATATCTTGCTTTGTAAATTCAATTTTGAGAGGGAGCTGTGGAAAATGTTAGGAGGCTCCTGATCTGCAGCAGGGCTCCCATACTGTGGATTCATAAACCAAGACTACAACATATTTTTGTAGTTCTTACAACATTTATCTGTTTGCATCTGTGTTATTTTGTCTGTACTTTCTGAACATAACTTATCCTTCCTCTTCTGTGATACATTTCAGACTATTTATTCATTGCTGTTAAATACACTTGAAATTGTTTCTTTGAAACAATAACATTTAGCAGACAATCTACAGATAAAAATGCAGCCAGTACTACAAAACAGACTATAGTAAATTAGATTAAATTGTCATATCCTCTTGTTGCATAGTTCATTCTCAGTGTACAGCATTTGCACTACAGATTTTTGCATGCAGGAGCAAAAGAAAAGGAACATAGTGATTGTTTTATCAATGAGGCCATCAGAGTCATATCTGCATTGTGGTTCTGATGTTTTTTCTCCTTTATCTTCTCAAACTCTCAGGTAAAAGAATATATTTCTACTCAGACACCTTGGAACATATGATGATCTCATTTCAGCTGCTTCCCTTTAAGGTAAACAAAGTACAAAATTAAAATTGATTTGTTGTTGGGAATTAAGTTAAAAACCCTTGTATTGCTAAACCACTTACTAAAAAAATTATTTTTAAATATTAAAGTTATTGTATTGGTACACTGATAAATTACACATTGGCTGTTTACAGGGGATAGAAACATCAATGTATATGTTAATATAATCAAGCTGGATTCTAAAGGAAAAAAACATAATTTTATTATGTACTATTTGTATTTATGCTGTATGCCATTAAAACCCTGTTTGGATGCACCACGTCGTCTTTAAATGTTAAATATAACTGGCAATTTAGTTTTCAGATTATTCACAAGACGTAATAATGGAAGTGTCGGATTTGATACAACAGGTGTTTGAAGAAAGGGACGACTTTAAAAGGCCTCATCAATGTTCGTGTCAAAATACCACATTTTGCTATTTAAAGTAAAATGGAAAGAAGTTAATCAAGAACCGCTGTCCTGCATGTTTTGGATGGTTCTATTCTGCCACTGACCTGACCTAGCAAGGATCTGCATCACTTAGTGGCCAATAGAATACAAAGATAAATCTAATAAATAATACTTTATTGTCCCATTCGGGGTAAATGCAGAAGAAAAGTAAATGCATAAAGTAAATTCATAATTGTTCATAACAAAACAACAAATCATTCACACACACAAAAAAAACACATTTAACAGCAAGGAATAAACAACTCATAGAGCTTAATGGTTTAGGTCATCCTCTAACATGGAATGAATCTGTTTGTCTCCTCAGGGCTGCAGAAACTCTGATCCCTCTCTGTTGGATTGGATGAGCCATGTTTTGGAATTCAGACAACAATCAATTGGATCTACTTCTCCTGTCTTCTTAATGTCAGTTAGTACCCTCAAACCGGACGGATAAGGCTGTGACTAGCAACGCTCCCACTGCTCAATCCTAAATTCATAATGGGCATGTAGCAATGTTCTTACAAAGTGTTGTAGCATACAGTTTGGACTCAATACTCTATGAATGCAACCTTTAAGGGATTGACACTAATATAGATATGCCAAAACTTTTAGCTGGAATTGCCTGTGGTACCTTTTATCCACTCTGCTGTCTAAATGATATGTAAAAGCACAGTTAGATAAATCTGCCAGTATCTTTGCAAGCACCGTTCACTTTATTGAGACTTTGATTTATTTTATGTTTGTTTTTTTTCACTTTATTTTTAGTTTTTCCCAGAAGGTCTTTATAATCGTTGACTACAACAATCAGGAGGAATTTGAACAAGTGGTAAAAACTGAGTCCATCTGTGATTTGACTGATATGAAACTGTGATACCAATCAAAGACTGTTAGCCATATGCCTTTGTTATATGTTCGTGCTCTCTGTGTTGCTAAATATGTTAAACAGACACATTTTTATGTGTGCTGTTTGCTGCTATTTATTTGATGTATTCACGAAGAACAATACATATGCATTGAGACACATGTGTCAACACAGACACCTTAAACACAAATACACACAGGTTTACATGTTTCACCTCTATCCAAGAGTGCACTTTGTTTTTTTTTTTCTCTATTTGGGATAGAGCAGAATATTGAGAAGTGAAGAACCTGTGTGCCCAAATTGATTCTGCATTGTTGTTCTTTAACATGACCCGTATAAAAAGATGATGAGGTGTATTGTATTTCTTATTAGCCTTATTCCACTTATTTACTAGTGGGACTACTGTCTTTCTTGTTTGGTGAATACACAGAAGCATACACAATATGCTCTATAGTCCCTTAAGTTATTTTGAAGCACAGTTAGGTTGTGCTCCTATTTATCCTGATGGAAAATTTCAGCAAAGTTCACCGGTCGAGTAGATAATTCAGATTAGATCGCTGTGATTACATGTTAAAATGGTGTTTTGATGAATGTAAAAAAGAAGCACATTTAATTCTTGAATCAATTAGATGTGTTAAAACGGTTAAAGCCGCTGGCTACTCTATTCAGCAGTCAAACTAACTTAATGTGTACTTTTTCATCTATAAAACAAACGTATGTATGTATGTTTTATGTGTTTCACAGTTTTCTATTTAGATTACTATTAATTCAAAAGCTATTATTCCTGAAACAATAGTGCACACATGCACATGCCTGTTTCTGATCACTAAAGTTTATTGATGTAGCTGACAATCTTGACTTGTTTTTTGTATAGTCATGAAACCAAATCTACACAAAAACAGATTTTCTATTTTATTTAATTTTTTCCCTACAGTATGCTTTTAAAACATGTGTTTGATATCCTGCAAAGGAAATCTATTTTTCAAGACTTCATCGTCTTGGTTGTCAGTGTACATCTCTTTATAAAGAGGCTATGCCAACAGGTTGTATATTTAACACACTAGGGACTTTTCTGTTTGATCAATTTACCAAGTAGAGTTACACACTTTTTTAACAGAGTAATAAACAAAACAGAATCCATACAGCATAATAGTAGCTCATACTAGAATTGTGCCACTGCCTTATTAAAGAACACAGTATCAGTAAACATAAATAAAATCAAAGGCAAACATAGAAAATAAGAGACAGCATTGTTTCAGATATAAGAACTAAGGCAGTACAAGCTGAGGGGGATTTATGTTTGGTGATTCCCTGCTGTGTTGGCAGTGTGTTTAGACCATAAAGAGGATTGAAGTGAGCAGGAGCAGAGTGGAAATCTTCCAATCAGGTCTGTGCCAAAGGGATAAATATTAACATTCTTATAAAGGTTTACAGCAGATGCAATGCCATGCTGTGTAACAGCAGGTATGATTTAGTGCTTCAGTGAATAAACTACCACTTTCCTGATGACGCTTTTCCAATAAGCCGTTTATAAGGTATATTGGATAAATGTTACCTTATGGCTCTGTGTTGGTTTCTCTGAACTTGTCTTCTTCTGTTAGTTTACCTTTGAGTTGTTCATTAAATTCATCTTCCTGCATCCGATATTTCTACAATATATCTGATGTCACTGAAGCTCACAACCACCCATGGCACTGCAGCAGAATATCTCCATAGTAACAAAGGAGGACGGCTGGTAAGATGAAGAGACTGGCAGCCCTGCAGGTAGACACTGGTCACTACTTCCAATGTCTGCATCTGTAATAGTTGCCAAGTCATTTACTGTATGTGTACAAAGGTTCTGAGAAAGGTATACACTGGGAAAAATGTCTCATGTATTTGTTGATGATATTTACAACCACTGGTTACAGTATATGTCTGTGTCTGGCAGAGGATGGCTCTTCCACGTGCAGATTGGGAGTCACCATGCAGACCACTTGGAAACTAGATGAATCAAACCAAAGACCGTAAAATATGTCAGACAAGAGAACATATGCCGGTGAAATCCAGGAACTCATTATAATTATTCAGAAAAGATAAAGGGATATTCCAATATTTACTGTAAATACCTTAAAAGCAAGATTGTTCATGTGTAAGTTGATAAGTGGCATGTAGGGGGAAAAAAACAACCTTTGTATTATTCAGAGTGATGGCAGCCATCCCAGTTTAGATTAAGCGCCTCTTCTTTCTTGGAATCAGGACTGATTTATAAGTCTTAAAATAGAGACAACTAATTGTCCAGACCAGGAAGCAGAATTGTAGTTTATGAAAAAATTCATGGAGCCTATATGCTACAAACTGCCTGTAGAGAACATATAGGAAATAATTATCATATATGAAATAATGTTGTAACAACTTTTACATGATGTGTTCCGTTGTAATTTATTTGATTTCTCAAAACAACGCAGTAGGGGGCAGCAACCTGATTTATATCCTCTTAAAATGTATTTTCACAAAGAGTGATGTTGCATCTTGAGTGCCTGTGGCATTAGAAAATGTAGCCTTCTTAAAAAAGAAGGCTACATTTGATTCCCTAGTTTAATTCAGAGGTGCAGACTTTAAAGAACACCTCCAGAAAATAGTATTCTTCACATCTAGAGGGATCCCACCTAGTTTGATAAATATTCTTTTATATAAAAAAAACAACTAGACTGGCTGTTTTTTTTATCATTAATGAAAGAAAACAAGAATAACCCAAGGTTTATTTTTGGTTTAGTAAATATATATAAAGAGTCTCAACTCTGTTAAACCATCCTTTCCCTCAGCCTTCAGCATTGCTGTCCTCAAGGAATTCCTCAAGAGTAAAGGTTTTTGGTCACCTGCTAAATATAGCAACTTGATCATCGATAAGTGAGGTAGCATTAGACTTTCCATAGTACCTGATCTATCTCTAATTTTTGATTGTTCTTTTTCAGTTAAGTTCTCTGAGTTACCCACTCCTTAAAGCCCCTGACACACCTTGACAATTTCGCCAACGTATGCCTGACACGAAAAATCTGGCAAAAACTCTGGCATACGTTGGATAAGTTATGGGTCAGTTTTGTAAAAGTTATGAGCATGGTGAAGCACACTGAAACATAGCGGCACACATCGACGTGTGGCAAGTATGTCAAGAAATTTTGAGCATGCTCCCTACGTAGGCCAGCGTGTGCTCGTACATGGTGCAGAAGTTACAGATAAGTTATCTGATCGTTGACATATGTTAAATGTAAGTTACTTATAAGTAGTGGCGTCCAGCTTATCCAAAAGCTATGAGTAACTTGTGCATAGCTTATGCCTAACTTATCAAGAACTTATCTCCAACGCATATCAATGTATTTGACATGTTCCAGACGACCACTGGACATGTTTCTAACTTATAGTTACTGCATAATGGAGTATTGTCAGCGTTTTTGGTATAAAAGGGGGTTCACAGGAGGAAACCCTCAGTACTCCTTCAGACTTCATCCCCATCATAGGGTGAGCAAGAAGGTGAGTGTGATGGATCCTCCCTGCTTTCATGCCCACGACTACAACCAACAAGCTTCCCATGACATCTTCCCATCTGCTGCGACTTCAAAACCTCTTTATGTCTTTTTCTTTTTTCTTTTTTCTTTAATCTTTTTTTTTTTTGTTAACAGCAGCTCGGTTAATACAGCGATAAAAGAAATCTTTTTATGCAGGCATCCGGGCGCTTTATTGCATCTCTCAGGACACTGGCTCGTGCATCATTTCATGGGCTGCTGTACTTTATGCATAAGTTATACTGTCGTTGGACATACATTCTGCACTCGTTATGAATACTCTACGTATATGCCCAAAATTGAAAAAATACATAGAAAGTTCAGGCATTCGCTGGCTGAATCGGCAAGGTGTTACAGGGCCCTAACAAATAGATATCTTCTACAGACTTTAAAATTGCTGGTATTAAACCTTTATCTCATAAACCTGCTGCCATTCAAGATGCCATCATTAAATGAAGACTTTTCAAAGAACTTTTGAAAACTTTTCATCCTACCATTTACACATAGCTGACCTGGTTGCACCAACCTTAGCATTGGACAGCTCTGATGAAAGCCTAATATAATCTAATATATCATCATAGCCTCAAATAATGGACTCAAATTTGTACCTATGTTGTTGGGTTGTTATGGGGATCAAAAGAACAGCACTTGATTGGTTTATATCATATTTTTTATCTGACAGATTCCAATTTGATGTTAATGAAAAATCTTTTACACACCCGGTTTACTTGCGAAGTATGATATGATTTAGTTCTTGCGCCAAAATATGCTAACTACGAAATACAAACACAACAAATATGATTTATCTTAGTAAATGATGAAAGTACTGATTTACAGATAAATTCTTAATTTATTTAATCAGTCGTCTAGACCTCATACATGACTTTAAGACATAAAAACCTGAATCACGGTTAAATGTATTGCTTTTATTAAGACAAGATGTATGTTTTTCTCTTTTAAGAAGATCATTTAAAAATCAACATTTTAGTTGATTAATTTCTTTGGAATTATAATGAAGTAAAAAAAAAAATCTTGGTTATAATTCACCAGGACAAGCCTTTGAAATCCATGTTAAACCGTTTTTAATGACCTCTTTGTTTAACATTCAAAATGGAAATGATACACATTGAAAAACTGGATGTTAAACATTCAGTCTGTTTTAGTTTAAATAGAGTATTTACAAATACATTGAGTGTAAATCTCTTTAAATGTTGGAGTTCATAATCAGTGAAAAATTTGACAGCCATGCAGTGTAACTTTTACTCTGTAGGCTGTCGATTACTCGCCAGTCTCTGAGAGATCTGGGTTTTGACACTAAATTAGTAAATTTCACTCTGAAAAGTTGACACTGACTATAGAGACGCTAATTTGGAGTGGGACCAAATATAAAACAGAGTTATATTCAACTCTGTAGGTGTTAAAGTAGCACCTACAGAGTCAAAGTACACTTTACTTCAACTTGAAATGTGTGTAAAATGTCAGGCTGTCCTCAAAATCTGCTTTAAATCATCCACCTTATCAAAAGAATAGTGAGGTTTCTATTAAAAGGTGAAAATATATATTTAGCTTAGTTTATTGGCTCCCTGTCAATTTCCCAAATTAATGAAAATATTTAATATTAAAATGATCAGTGATCTAAATTTTGTTCCAAGATGCATCAGAGATTAAATTATTCCACAATCCTAACAGAGCACTTTGCTCTCAGACTAGCTGTCTGTTTGTGCTTCCTAGAGTTTCTAAAAGTAGGATGGGAGACATTTTTGTCCTTCAGACAGACACTTTGTCCTGAGGGTAAGATTATCCTGAACTACTGTTTCTCTGTAGTTATGCTGCTAAAGGCTTAAGCTACTACAGGACATACTGACAACCTTTGCTCCCTCTGCTACTGTTTTGTACTACTATCTGGTGATCTTGCAGTTATCGCTGATGTTAACTCAATATTTTGTCTTTCTTTTTTTTCTCAATGGAAGTTCTGCCTTGCCTGAAATTCAATTTAGCTCTGACTCCTTCTTCCTTGTGACCATATCCTGAGCTTAAGCTGGCAACAGCTCAGTTTTCTCTAAATTTGGCTGTGCTTAACCCTGTCTCTCTTCTAGATAAAGCAAGTGAATGAGCTATTGCTGCTACACACTGTGTTATACTCATTTTTTAATCACATAGGTGTTCAAATGTGATTCTCTGATAGCTGCAGTAATTTAAGAACCCATTATAATTTCTTTAATACAGAAAAGAAGTACTCTGAATCAGAGCATGTGGATGTTTTTTTTTTGTTTGTTTTTGTTTTTTGGTGTATGTTTAGTCTTCTCAAGTCCCCAGA